CCCCTAGGTGGAGCTCGGACTGCACCCCTCCCACGGGAGGATTTTCAGCTACGGCCGCCTGAGAGGACTTGATTAGGTATCCCACCGACTGTGCTCTTTGCAGAGCCACGAACCAGCGCTGCCTGAAGAGGTGTAGGAACCTAGCTGCATGATGAGAGGTGGGTTGGGCATTGAAATGATGCCTAGCAGCTGTATCCGCCAGTAACTTCAGAAATATTGGGACTTCCGCACAGGGGCAGCCGTATGTCTCAACTGCAAGAGGGAAGAAGCCGACCGTGTCAGGTCGGTTAGCGTAGTGGCTGATTTTCTTGTCGGCCTGCTCCCTTGCTGCCCATCCCCTTTCCTCAGTGGCATTGGGATCTTGGGTGCTAATGGGATCTGTGATGGTGACATCACAGGCATAGACCGCTCCCCGAGCTCTTATCACGCATGGTGAAGTCGGCTGATTCACTGTGAAATATGAAGCCAGCATCCTGCGCCATCATAATACACACATCCCGCAGTTCGTTATAAGTGTTGATTCTGTGCTTGCCCGTGCCGCAGCAAAATAAGTGGTTCGGGAGTCGTGGGTCCTTGATCTCGACATGCTTAGAGCAGTCACAGTTTCTAGGCGTGGAGAAGGGCAGCCCAAGTCTGAAGCGGACGGCGTCAGCCAGTCCCCCGTGCCATAGCCAGTTAGGGAGAAATACCGTTGGGTATGGCCTGATAATGGGTTCAGCCTCGTGAGCCATGTTGCCTGTACTTGTGTGGCATATCTGCTCCCTTGTACTCTTACCCCGAGCTCATGTTGCAGCTTTAAATCTGATGGCTCCAGTCTTTCCTTGTATAGGATGTCCCTGGCCTCCCGCAGTAATGCTCTCTCACATTCGGACAGCCAGCGGTGTAGAGCAGTGGTAATGTCTCGTGGTAGCAGCATGTGATTCCTAACCGCCGTCAAGGCCACCTCTGACTCCAGCGGCAAGGCACTAAGAAGGAGTGATGCTTGCGTAAAACTAGCTAGGAAGCCAAACGTTCCTTCTACCGTGGGGTCTGTGAGTCCAATGCCCCCTAACGACAGTGGGAGTGATGACTGCTCCCAGACCCGAGTCGGTTCCGTGCTGTCCGTTGGTAAGCGAATGCTGCACGCCGTAAGGAGGGTGGCCAGCAGGTCCCTACTCCAATAGGACCAAGTGGCTTTGTCCAGAAGATGCAGAGGAGTCGTTCGCGTGAGGTATGCTACCCGTTGTGAAATGCAGCGGGTGAGCAAGAGGGATGCAATCTGTGGGTCCATTCGTTCTATCAGAGGTAGCAGTTTAGACATGGCCCGTAGCTGTCCGGATAGGAAGGAGGCGGCACCATGTGGAGTTCCTAGGAAGCTACCAAGAAGCCAAACTCCCTCAGTACTACTCGGCACCCCAGGCGGCAGCTGCACTTCCTGGTCTATCGGGTGGCTGCTCCATGCGACACATTTCCCCGGATTGTGTCGCAGGCCCACTTGGGACAGTTGGCTCATGAAGAAAGAAAAGGTCGCGACGGTCTCACGGTGTTCACCTAAAAAGCTGACATCATCGGCTTATGCCAGGCGTAGTACGCTGGGATGTGCTATAGCTATTGCTCTTAATGTGGGATGGATCCCAGCCGTGAATAGAAGTGGACCTAAGAGGTCCCCCTGTCGTACTACGCGTTCACTAGTGAGTGGTGCGCTACTAAAGCTAGCGTCCAGGAACAGTGATGATGGGTGGGCCTAAGTCAGTTGTACTAAAGGTAATAGTGGTGAAAGAGCCTGATCTTGTAAAGCGGTGACTATGGCTTGTCTCGATATGCTGTTGAAGGCGTTGGAAATGTCGGTCTGTAGGATAAGGCAGTTGGGATGTGCATCTATGTATGCTCGTGCGCTGTGAATGATTGCTTCTGCTCTCCTTGGCACAGCTACACCATACTGTAGAGGGAGAAAATATCCCCGAGCCGCTTTGCCCAGGGCTGCCAGCGCGACTTTTGCAGTCAAGCGAGTCAGACTTTCACCAATCGCTATTGGGCGGGCCCCACCTTCTGGCTCGGCCAGGGCTATCAGGCATGATAAAGTGAGTAGTTCCGCGACTGGTAGTGGCAGTTTCCCCTCAGAATCATGTTGACTAAGGCCTGCACATGGGTCGAGACGGTTGCGTTTGTTACTGACGAGTCGCGAAGATGTTCGAAGGTCATTCCACTCGGGCCGGCCCCAACGCCGTTCTTGCATCGGCTGAGCATCCTAAACAAATCCGCGTAGGAAATTTCGAGGTTGGAAGGTTCGGTGATGGCAGGCCAAGTCAGGGGGTCAGGGTCGGCTGCAGGGTGCTTTCTGCGGAGTTCGTCCAAAATCTTCGGGCTCGGCGTACAGACTGGTGTTGACTCGAGCGCCAACACTGCCCGGTGCAGGCTCCCTTTCTTTGCCAGTCCCTCCGCTCTGCTGATGGTGCCCACGTCGTCTGGCTGGTGACGTGGTAGGGGTGGTGTGTTGACTGCTTCAATTGCGTCCAAAAACAGCTGCTGCCACTCGCCGCGTTGAAATGCACGGAGCCGGGCTTTGATTTTGGGCCAATCAGGTCGTTTCAGCGAACCCTCTCGTAGTGTCAGGCGCGGGAGAAATAGGAGTAACTTCCATCCCGCGATGGAGTCAGGGCTTCGCGAGAGGTGTAGAAGTGGTGTCAGCACTGCGAGCAAAAAGATCTCGCACAGGTTCGGCGGTAGCCGTCGTAACAGCGTAGGTGGCGACTATCGCATAGAGGCGAAATGTCCCATTCCGCCACCACAGTGAATTTTTCTGTCTGCCTCGCCAGCTCTTCTGGAGAAAAATAGCTGGGATTTTGGGACTGGCAAGCCGCACCCGCCTAAACCCCCATGGTTCGATTTGTTCGTCCGCGGCTCGTAGGACGTATAGAAGGCGGGGTTGGAATGGTGACTGTCGGATCCACATCCTGTGGCCCCCGTGTGCCTCCTGCTTGCCCTGCCAATCCTCTCGGGTTCCCTCCGCTACGTCCCGTCGTATGTTCTATCTCTTCTTCCTCATCTTCCTCACTCGGCGCTTGTGCTTCCTCCCTATAAGACGGGTTGTTTCTCTGCTCTGGGCTAGTATTCTTGTCGAGCTGTGTTAAAGCCCTTCGTGCCGCTGCTTGGAACGCGTTCTCCGGTCCCCCTCCACTCCGCGTCCTTCACGGCATCCTGCTCCTTGTCTCCTCCCGCCTCGCGATGGTGATTGCTGGTGACCCGTGGCCATCCCCAAAGCCCGCTGCCGCTGCGTCAGCGGCGAGCGGAAGGTCACCTCCGGTGTCTGCCTCGGGGAGTGCTGCAATGAAGCCACTAGTCCCCCCTGCCCCGAAGCCAGCGCCATCGGTCGCTGGTGTCTTTGCGACTCCGACTCCAGACCTCATGTCGTGTGAGGCTCCGACGTCTCTCCTGCCCGCCTTGTCTGCCCCTGTTGCTGAGCCGGGCCCTCCTGCTGCTGTCACGGGTCCCGCACCCTCCGCTCCTGGTCCACCGGCTGTCATTGTAAGTCCTGAGGCGCCGCCTGCCGTTGCCGATCCTGGTGTTGCGCCACCCGTGCCTGAACTCATTGCGGCACTGCTTGCCATTGTTGTCCCTGTTGCACCCGACGCGGCTGTTGGTTCGTCGCCAATGGCGGTGTCCGCCACCACTGGCGGCCAGCCCGACTGTGGCGCCAGTGGGGGCCGTCCAGGCGGCGCCTGTTGCTGCACCTGTGGGTCAGCAGCTGGGCCAACGCTCCTCTCTCGCGCATTCTCCTGCGCCCCGTGAGGAGCGGGAGTCGTCGCAGCGCCGTCGTGATTCTTCCCGGCGTAACCGTTCGCAGGCGGACTGGCATGCGTAACGTGGCGGTCGTGGGGGGTGGGCGGGAAGTCGCGGTTATGGCGGCGGCGCGGCATATGGTCAGCCAATCTCCCTTGCGGACATGCAGTGTGTTGTCTCAGCGGCGATACACGAGGAGAGAGCCTTGCAGCGTCTTGCTCCCTCTCCAGCAGCTCCACCTGTGGCTGCACCTCCCGTGGCTGCGGCTCCGCATCGTCAGGCGGTTGCTCCAGCTCCTCAGGTGGTTGCCCCGGCTCCTCCTGCTCCTGCTGCATCCACTGCCGCTCGTGATCATCGTTTGCAGCTACCGTGGGTTCCTCCAGTGGCGGGACTGGAATTTAAGATTCCGGCAGGAGGAGCGGTGACGGCACAATACCCGCCTCTGCTGCCTGCTGGTCCCGCTCCCACGTCTTCTCTCGATGCACCGACCCTCCCGACCTTGCCCGGGCCTCCACGCACGGCTGAGGTCCCGGAAGCGAGCCTGGCGCAGTTGTGGCATCTTTGTGAGGGCCTTCGTGCCGTTCACCTGATCCAGGTATACGGTCATGCCGCTGTGTTCCAGGGGAGTTCTTTGGATGGAGGCCCTCGGGATGAGTGCCTCGATGCGGCAGATCGGCTCGCCGAGCTCCTGGCGCCCGTGTTATCTGCGCCCGCACGGGGTGTAATTGCGGGCGTTGGGCAGTTTGGTACGGCTGTCTGTGGGTTGAGTGTTGGTGCTGTTAAAATTAAAAGGTAGAGAAGTTTAGAATGAAGAAGAAGAGGGAGTTCACTAGAAAGCAGCAGGATACATATAGGAAACCCTAAGGGGTTGTACTCGCTATAGAGTACCCCACTGCAGGCTAGAGAACAATGACATTCTGACATACCCCCATAGCCAAAGTGGGGTGTAATCAGCAGAGCAAGCAAAGCAGAACAAGCTCAGGGTGGATCACAATGTCACCACACATTCTGAGCACAAGTACAAGAAGCAATAGTTTAAAGTTCACAATTATGAGCAAAGCTAGAGGCTATCGCAGAGGGCAAGTGAGGAGGAGGAGGCGAGAGTGAGAGGAGAGGAGATAGGAGGCGACGGCTGAAGCTGCAGACACACGGGCAACAGGAGTCACACTGGCACAGCGGCTACCGGAACAACACTCCGGACTACTGGAGTAACTGGCTCCGCGGCTAAAAGTAGCGGCAGACGAGCAACGGACCCACGGGCGACTGGCACAGCTGGCTGCGACTGGGCTACCGGAGCAACTCCCCGGACTACAGGTGCTGCTGGTGACACGACGGCAACCTCAGTTCAACCTCCCCAAACAGTCCCACTCCCCCTGACACACACCCCCTGCTTCACCCCTAGCTCCACTCCCCCTTCACCCCCCTTAGTACCACTCCGACGGCTCCAACAGGTCCACCCCCCTCAGCGGCAGCTGCAGCACTGGGAGACGGAGGAGGAGGAGGAGCAGGGGACGGCACACAGAAGCTGCACCCCCATACCCCCCACCCCCAAACCCTAATTCAGGAGAACGGGCAGCAACAGGGGTGGGGCGCCATCAGAAGCACGGGGGACAGCGGGCAGCGCAGGGGCAGCGAAGAACGGGCCGCCCACGGGCCTGGCACAGCCGCCCGAACCGCGCGCAGGCGGCCCGAGCCGCGCGCGGGCCTGGCGCAGCCCGTACGGGCCGCGCGCGGGCCTGGCGCAGCCCGTACAGGCCGCGCGCGGGCCTGGCGCAGCCAGTACGGGCCGCGCGCAGGCTTTACGAGCCGCGCGCAGGCCACGACGGGCGACGGGGGGCGACGCGCGGGTCCCCGTCGCCCGTCGCAGCGCCTCTCGGGAGCGACGCGCGGAGTGACGGGGCAGAAACCCGCCGCGCGCCTCGGGGCGCACGGCGGGCAGACAACCGCCGCGCGCCTCGGGGCGCACGGCGGGCAGAAAACCGCCGCGCGCCTCGGGGCGCACGGCGGGCAGAAAACCGCCGCACGCTCCGAGCGCGCGGCGGGATGAAAAATCCGTCGCACGCCACGGGGCGTGCGACACAGAGAGTGGCAGTAGCAGCGGAAGCAGTGAGGTGGTGAGCCAACCCACAGGATCGACCCAAGGGGATCGACCTGCTCTGATAGCATGTTAAAATTAAAAGGTAGAGAAGTTTAGAATGAAGAAGAAGAGGGAGTTCACTAGAAAGCAGCAGGATACATATAGGAAACCCTAAGGGGTTGTACTCGCTATAGAGTACCCCACTGCAGGCTAGAGAACAATGACATTCTGACAGGTGCAACCCTACGGTTTGCATTCGGCTTGTTGTTCGTGTGCGTGCATGCGTGTGTGCATGGAATGGTATGAGGGCATGAGATAATATATATTTCATGCTTACAATAGTGTGTGAATGATGAGGCATGATTTTGAATGTGTGTGTCGAGTCAATAGCGAGTTATCGCTAGTCGCGTGTCACGTCGTCGTTTGCGTGTCGTGTGCGGTTTTCTATTTTGTCGTGTGTGGAACGTTCGGCGTGTCGCAGGTGTGTGCAGCAGACTTCCGAGAACTCAAGGAAGAATTTATCTTGAAGAACCAGAGCCTTGGTTTCAAGATTCAAGTGATTTCGAAGCTATCCAAAAGGGTAAACTTCAAGATAGTGAAAATAGTTACATTACTTTGTGTAGTGTAACATTTCTCTTGGTGTAGGCCCTTGTGGAGGGTAGTTTCGAGACCCTTCGTGGTTGGGGACAGTGTGGCACTGTTCCACATCACTGTACCTCGGCTCTTGGGGTTTGTAGGAGCTGGGAGTCATTTCCAACTCGTAAATCTTCCTATCTTGTGCTCTAAGACTATAGTGGCTGCCATAGTACCGTTCGTTCAAACCGACGCTGTGTCGTCAATTCTTAATGAAACCGTGCAATATAAATTGCTTATTGTAGGCGACATAAAGACGCTCCAGATCCAAGTTGAATCAGGTCATTTGAAGCTGTGGCCAGAACGCTATCAACGTTTGAAGCCGCTGTGCAGAAATCCGTCTGTGCACTCTATCTTTTGTTTTAGGCACATCCAAGCCTATTGTGACTATAACATTGAGGCGGGTCCTGCGCGCTGGCACTAGAGACGAAGTGATCGGCGCAAGCGCGGCGGTGGTGCGGGAGCGCCACCGCTCTCAGACTGGGCTCCTTGCAGTTCTGAACGTGGATCATTTCTAGTATCCACTGAGTCTTCTTCCCCGATTGCATTCTCCTGTTGCCCCATTGCCGCCCCTTTAGTTGTAGTACCCTCTCGCCATTTGTATATGCCTATGCTATAGTAGCGCTTGTTGCGCCTGGTGCGCTTGCCGTTCCCTCATTCGCGGCCAAAGGCACAGACATAGAATAATGAGTTGAAGAGGCCAAGAGAGGCCTCTTATATAGCTCACTAAGGGGAGGGCAGACGGCTAAAGGGAGAGGGCAGAGGCTAGGGTCCTCTCTCTCTCTCTCACTCTCTCCCTCTCTCTCTCTCTCTCTCTCTCTCTCTCTCTCTCTCTCTCGCTCTCTCGAACGAACGAGGAAAAAATTCTGCACCAACACAGAATAATGAGTTGAAGAGTCCAAGAGAGGCCTCTTATATAGCTCACTAAGGGGAGGGCAGACAGCTAAAGGGAGAGGGCAGACAGCTAAAGGGAGAGGGCAGAGGCTGGGGTCCTCTCGCTCTCTCTCTCTCTCCCTCTCTCTGTCTCTCTCTCTCCCTCTCTCCCTCTCTTTCACTCTCTCTCCCTCTCTCTCTCTCACTCTCTCTCTCTCCCTCTTTCACTCTCTCTCTCTCTCCCTCTCTCCCTCTCTCCCTCTCTCTCTCTCTCTCTCCCCCTCTCCCTCTCTCTCTCTCTCTCTCTCTCTCTCTCTCTCTCTCTCTCTCTCCCTCTATCCTTCTCTAATGGTCCGTGCATTGATAACCCAGGAGGGTACAAAACATGCAAGGTAAAGTAAGTACTAACAATGCAAACATCAAGTCTAGCACACCAGCTCTATCCCCTAGATCTCGAGTAGGGGCTCAATTACTGCAAAGCAATCTCCCAAATACAACTCTGACCCAATCCCCCCCACAGGCGGGTTCTCAGCAGCCGCCGCCTTGCTTGACTTAAGCAGGTAACCCATCGATTGGGCCCTCTGCAGTGCAACCGACCACCTCTGTCAGAATTGGTGCAGGAATTTGGCGGCTTGGAAAGATTTTGAGTCAGCGTTGAAGTATCGCCTAGCCGCCGTATCCGCCAGTAACTTGAGGAAAACCGGGACTTCAGCACATGTGCAGCCGTAGGTTTCTACGTCCAAGGGGAAGAACCCCACCGTCTCTGGTCGATCAGCGTAGTGCTTGATCTTTTTTGTCGGCCTGCTCCCGGGCCGCCCATCCCCTGCCTTTCGTCGCCTCGGGATCCCTTGTGCTGATGGGGTCTGTGATTGTGACATCACACACCCAAACCGCCCCGCTGCGTCGGTCACTCATTGTGAAGTCGGCCATTTCTTCCTCGATCGAACAGAAGGTTGCTGACTCGCTGTGGACAATGAACCCCGCGTCTCGGGCCATGCTAATGCATACGTCCCGAAGCTCGTTGTGGGTGTTATTGCGGTGCTTGCCCGTGCCACAACGGAAGAGATGGTTCGGTAGACGTGGGTCGAGGATGGCAGTTAGGTCCGCGCAGTTGCACTTCGCCGGCGTAGAGAATGGGAGGCCGAGCCGGAAGCGAACAGCGTTAGCGAAGTGCACGGGTCCAATGCGCCAATTTGCCATGACGGGGATTGCGGTCAGCCAATCTCCCGTGCCGTACCCGGTCAGCAAGAACATCCGTTGGGTGTGGCCTGATAGCGGATTCAGGTTCATGCGCCTACTCTCCTGGACTTTAACGGCGTATCTGCTCCCCTTGACTTTCAGAGCAAGCGCGTGCTGGAGCTTCAGATCCGACCGCTCCAGACTATCCTTTTCCAACAGTTCACGTGCGTTAGTAGGCAGAGCCAATTCACACTCGGTGAGCCAGGTGTGTAGTGGTAAGTTGACATCTCGGGGCAATAGCATGCGAAAATTTCTGGCCAACAAACTGAAGAATGAAGAGAGAGAGGCCACGGGAGACCTCTTATAGCTAGGAACTAGAGGGTAGAGGGCTAAGGGAGAGGGAAGACGCTAAGTCTCTCTCTCTCTCTCTCTCTCTCTCTCTCTCTCTCTCTCTCTCTAACAGTCCTTGTATTGATAAAGCAGGGAAATACAAGCATGCAAGGTATAAGATCAGTATCTAGCTAACACACAAAAACACAAAAGAATCTAACAATCTCTCTCTCTCTCCCTCCCTCCCTCTCTCTCTCTCTCTCTCTCTCTCTCCCTCTCTCTCTCTCTCTCTCTCTCTAATGGTCTGTATATTGATAGGCACTGAAGGTGCAATCATGCAGATGTGGCTTTTACTAGTACTAGCATTCAAGGGAACCTAAGCTAACCTATAGACTAAGCTATCTAGAGCTCAATAAGAGGCTCAAGAACAGCAAAACAATCCCCCAAATCAAGTTCATGGCCTATCCCCCCACAGGTGGATTTTCAGCCGCTGCTGCCTCACCCAACTTGATCAA